GGGGGGGGGGGGGGCGTGGGTGGTTGAAATGTTTCGCTAGGTTCCTCCTAGGAGTTCTCTTGGGCTTAGGGTTTAGGGCTTATAGGGTTTTGGGCGGCTAGAGAGCGCAAAGTCGGGTTATTGGATTTTTGGGGTTTAGGACGGATAGGTTACTAGAGTTCTCTTCGTTGGGTCTTATGAGGGTGTTGTCAGACTCTGAAGGCGTTCACGGTTTTCGGTTTTTAAACTCAATTCAGGTTCAGAGGCTCTGATAAAGCACGATCCATCAGGAAGTTTTGGGGCTTTCGGATGGCTTCTCTTCGCCAAGGTTCGCATCTTGCTTCTCTGGGTTATCTAAGGCTCCTTCGGTTCATGTCGGATTTAGGAGCTCTTCTGACAGCCATGGTTTGAACTGCAGAATAAGGTTTAGGGTTTAGGTTCAGAATATGGAGCTTACACCAGGCGTCCTAAACCTGCAAAGCGAACTTGGAAACTGATACATGCTGTGAAACCCTTGCCACAACTCTTGGTGACCGTCTGCGGAGGTTCACGACTTTGGCAGCAGCTGAGCGGCAAGTGAGTGATCAAGAGGAAGAGGAAAAGCAAACCCCTGATCAGTGGCCCCACCCGTCCTAAAGCCATACTGCTTACCAACATCTCCACTTGGAGGTTGATGCATACTTACTTATACGTGGATAAGTCCCCGTGATATGGCATGGGTTATAACTAGACTCTACTTACAAGCCCACTTACAACCAGCCTGGGGTTATACCCCCTCAATATGGGCTATAACATGATGCTAAGTATACATAGGTTTAGGGTTTAGGGCACCCGACATAGCGGCAAGAATAGTCTCAGCGAGGGGACTGCTGGGCAGAGGTATTCCCTAGGCCTCCGATTGCTTAATATCTATAGTAGGTTACTTAAACCCTAAACCCCCAAACCCTAAAGTTTAAACCCTAAACCCCATGTATTATGCACCCCCGTAGCCTGCTATTTAAGTTTAGGTCGCTGGAGCCCTAGGGATTGACAGTATCCCCATGGCCGCGTATGACGACTCTTCACCAACGCCTCCTCCAAACTGACGTGGAACGTCGTTCAGCAAAACCCCTAACTAATATATATATATATATACATACATACATACATACACACACACACATCACAGTATAGAACAATGGTGCCCAAACTCCTGCTCTAATTTTAAAGGCCTCTATATGAAGCCCTTTAGCCGAAACCTTGACGCGATTCCTCCAGTCCGACATCTTCGGTGCAAGAGCCGTGACGGGCCTCAACATTTAGGGGCTTTAGGTTTAGTATGTTTAACCTAGACCCTTAAATGTAGTTGCTTTAGTTTCTTATTATAGGATCCCAACCAAAAAATAGGTCATCCAAAAAAAGGTGCTACATTTAAGGGTCTAGGTAGTGTTTGGGGCTTTAGGGGTCTACATGGGCTTAGGCTTAGGTATTGGGCTCAGGGGTGGTTAGGTGCGAGAAGCCATGTGGGCATTGATCTAAGGATCCTTGCCGATATGTAGTATACCTGTGCGTATATATGTATGTATGTGTATAAGCAAATACATATATATATATATATGTATGTGTATATATATAATATGTGTGTGTATATATATACACACATATATAGCGCTAAAATGCTGCGTTCAGGTCGACAGTCGACCGGATGAAGCAGCAGCATTGTAAAAGAGATCCTGGAGGCCACGTATGGAAAAAAAACACAACACATCGTCGGACCGGCATGAACTTCTCACATAGCCTCCTGAACCCTTGCAATCCTGGTTTAGGGATTTTGGGGTTTAAGGATTATATCATAATCCTTAAACCCCCAAAATCCCTAGACGGTTTAGGGTTTAGGGTATAGGGTGTAGGGTTCAGGGGCAAAACCCTCAAAACCCCAAAGCCCTAAAGCCCAGGATACTGGTGGACCTACGGCCCTTCGTCAGCAGGGGCTTGCTTGGAGGTCTTGAACACATTGACCTAGGCAACTAAAACCCGGGAAGCCCCAAAGCGCAAGAACCCAAGGCCCTTGTGCAGAACCTTTTCTTAGTGTCCCTTTTGTCGCACTGCACAAGTCGATCAGGGTCTTGAGTTTAGGAATGTTGTGGTGCTTGCCTTTCATTCCATAAAAACCACACTTGCAATGAACATGCCAATGGCTACAATGAGCCCCATGAATAATCATGGAAACACCCTCGACCGTCACTGAATCCCGTCCTACCCATATTTTCGGATCTCCTCCGAGGGCGCGACAGGGACGATGACGGAGCCCTGCGCGAAGCTGTTTTTTTGGAGGCGCTGGTCTATGTTCTGTGCTACCGCGCTTCGGGTTTAGGATTAAGGATAGCTGGGAGGAGCATTTGAGATTAACTTGATTCTGTAAGCAGTTATTATGTAGGGTGCACAGAGTGAGCGTGGTCCTAGCTGGAAGCTTAAACAAGTGATCTCAGTATCAGTTCAGTGCTTGTACGAAGGATTTGGGTGAACATGGCCATGTGTGTTTTGCACAGGTCCCGAGCTTCCCGGAGACGGAATCCATCAAGAGCAGATGTTGGTTTCCGTAAAGTCTTTTGCAACTTGCTCCAAGCTTTAGGCCTTTACTTCAGCCGCAGACTCGCACTGATAAGTTTGGTCTAATTTTCTGAACTCTCTCTGACTGGGGAACACTTACATGCTTTGGGATAAGGCATTCAGGGCTTCGGGTTAATGGGTTTTTACAGCTGAGGGTTTCGAGGTTTGGGGGTTTACACAGGTTTTGAACTCAAGAGGGACCCCCAAATACTAGGCCGCCACTCTTTTAAGCCCGATGTAACCCCGTAATGAAGGGGTCTGAAGAGATAGTTAGCAGACTCCTATTTTGCTTGAGACGCCCCGATAATGCGCAGACACCTGCCCTTCCTAGATCCTTCTTGTCAAGATGTACCTTGAAGCCTTGAATGCTCATATCCACTAGAACAGGGGTCTGTGGTGTATTCTAGCACAAATGAATTCGGTTCTTTAAAAGGGATTATAAGTACTATATGAATGAAAATCCGTCATTCAGGCCCGACCTAAACCCTAAACCTTATAAACCCCGAAACCCTAAACCCCTAAACCCTAACCCTGAAACCCCTAAAATCCTCAGCTCCAGTCCCACGCCTGGGGTTTTTCCAGGTGCCTCTGAGAAGAGATGTGGAGGCGCGCCAGATCCGCGCCCACCTGAGCATGAGGCCGACAAGGGACCAAAGGGCACTTGGGGTTTAGTGTCCTAGGGATGGTTCCCTACTTTTTTTGTTGCTGTGGGGTTTAGGGTTTAGAGGCTTGTTTGTTGCTGTAGGGTTTTTAGGGTTTGGGAGTTTCCGGCCTTTTTGTTGCTCTAGGGTTTATAGGGTTTGGGGCTTTCCTGCCTTTTTTTCTGTATACGGTGTTGCACCTTAATTATCCGAATTGTCCGAAGAGCCTGGAGCCCTAAGCCTCCGGGGTTCCCCACCTGAGAGACTTTTTCTCTTACGGGTCCCTTCTTTAGGTCCCCGACATAGTACGGCACCCTAAAAAAAAGCAACCTAAAAGGGACCTTAATTTAGAGAACTACCCATACATGGTTTTATACGTGGTTTCGCACCTTCAACCCGAAAGTCCCTAGAGAACCTCGAGGGGAGGGCGGGGGCCTCAGAACGGATGTTCGCAGGGTTTCACAAGGGCACTCCTTGGGCAGAAGGTCAGGGCCGTTTAGTGCGTAGGATTTGCAATCCTGCTAAGGCTCTTACTTAAGGCCTTTGGGTTGAATGCTGCTTAGAGGGAGCTCAGGGTTCAAGGGTGTTCGTCTTGTGCTACTGACTGCTGTAGCTGCAGCGGGACTTCTCCTATGTGACTGGATCCTTCGAATCCCACCACACGCCGGATGTCGTAGCGTTCGTCGAAAGTTGGCATGAATTTGGCATAACTCTTCAGCGATTCGGTGCCTGCTCTCGCTTGACCGCACGCTGCGCACGGCCACACATCCGTCTCATGCAGACCCTGTCCCCAATGCTGCTGTACAACTGGATGCAAAGAACAGTTTGGCCTAATATAGAAGGCTGAATAGTAATTCGTAATACTGGCATTCTCGAGGGTCCTGATTACAATAAGTATACAGAAATGGACCACTAAACCCTCTTGAAATTCTTAAGGCCCCTGTGTCCCACATATTCTTTCGTCAACAGGTCTCGGGTGCTTGAGGTCCGGTTGAAGGATCAGGGAGACCTTGTTCTAGCTACCATGAGCAAACTTCGAATGCCAATATGTGTGCAATGATTCTCTCCGGGCCCTTCCTTGCCCCCCCGTTTCAGCGCCATATTTCTCATTGTACCGTGCTTAAATATCCAGAGGCTGCAGGCTGCGGTGCCAGAACTTTGTAATACGGAAGCTTCAACATGGGCTTGAGACCTCTAAGACTAGGAAGCCTCCGTCTCAAGCATGGTGTGCAGCGCATGGCTTATGAGGCAGCCGGCCTTTGTCAGTGGCTCTTTCCGGCTTCTCCGTTGCAGTGCTTTGGGCGTCAGGTATGCTTCGGTCGGGTGGCAGGTGAGCTCTCATGGACGCGTTTCGAGTAGCACGGGCAGAATTCATTATGGGAGCCCTCACTGCTCCGGGTACCGCAAAGTGATGATTGGGAACCAAGCCTACAAAGTGCATCGGCTGGTGGCTGCAACGTTCTTGGGTCCGCCGCCAGATCCGAGCTGCTGGCAGGTGAACCACGTGGACGGCAACAGCGACAACAACCGTCTAACTAATCTGCAGTATGTGACGCCCGCCGAGAATCAAAGGCATTCGTGGGCAACCAACTTGAAGCGGCAGACGAACGCAGCCAAGGTGGGTAAGGCCATCCTTTGGCGGCCGTGTGGTGAGGAGGCTTGGTCATTCTGCCCGTCGCAGCGAGAAGCTGAAAGACTGTTGGGTGTTTGGCAGGGCTCTATCTCAAGCTGCATCCGCGGTTTGGCCAGGAAGTCCTGCGGAGATGGAGTTTGGTACGAATTCAAAGCAGCCCCGGTAGATGAGCAATGCCCGTTCCCGGACGAAATCTGGCGCCCTGCGCGATATCCTGCAGAGATTGCAGAGCCTGCCATCATCCCAAACCTTCTGGTCAGCAACTACGGCCGGGTTTCGCAAGCCAAATCCGGTTTTGGACTCGTGAGCTATGGGACTCGCCTCAGAAGTGGCTACTATACCGTCCGAAGGGGTGGCAGGCACATGCTCGTGCACCGTGTAGTTGCTGCGACGTTTCTTGGCCAGCCAGGCGCTGCGAATATCCAGGTCAACCACAAGGATCTCAATCGAGGCAACAACCGGCTCGAAAACTTGGAATATGCCACTGCTGCACAGAATTCGCAGCACTTTTGGCAAATGAGGTCAGGGGATGCACACAAGTCAAGTGGAAAAGCAGTGCAAGCTTACTCGATTGCCGACTCGTCGCAATGTCCTTGGCTGGGCTTTGACTCAATCGCCGCTGCAGCACGACATACGGGTGTCGCTTGGGGCAAGATCGTCCGCGTCTGCACGGGACTTGGCACCGATGCCTCGTGTTCTTTCAGATTTGCTGCAGAAGAGCAGATCCCCGGTGAGGAGTGGCGGCCCGCGGTACTCGAAGGGGCACGGAGGTCGCCCCTCCAGGTGTTCTAACAAAAGGCGCTGTCCCTCATGTCTCGTCTCCCTCCAGACGTGTTATGCCGGAATGGATTTGACTAACACGGCCCTCGTGTTGACTCAGCTGTGTCATGTGGTCCGAGCCATACTTACCTTTACGGTGCGCAGTCCATACTGTCAGGCCTGAATAGTTCGACATCGTATTCATATTCCTTCGGGTTTGCCTTCTACAAAATCAGTACAATATACCCAAAACCCTAAACCCCAAACCCTATACTAGTTGGATTTAGGAGCTGAAGGGGTTAGGGGCCCGGATTCGGATGTACCGGTGGAGGAGCTTTGAAAAGCTATGGGAGGCTACTTTAAGAGGCAGAGCCAACAAAAGGGCTGCTGTTAGTACATCAAGTCCAGGGTTGAAGCATATTATAGGGCCGTTTATCATCATTACCTAGGGGGGGAGATTCCTTATACTAATTACAGCATCGTTTTCCCCAACACCCTGTTCTAGTTAGTGATGCTGATCCATTACATTATTTCAAATCAGAGCGCCAAGTCATGAACGTAAAGCCCCAAGGCCCTTGCCTCTCTGACCTTCCACCCTAAACCCCTAAACCC